CTGATGCTGTTGTGGTGTAGAGAAGCAGGAACATTTGCACACTGTTGGTGGGAATGTAAATTAGTTCAACCATTGTGGAAGACAGTGTGGCAATTCTTCACATATCCTGCAATCCCATTACTGGATATATCCCCAAAAGATTATAAGTTGTTCTATTATGAAGATACATGCACATGTATGTTCATTGCAGCACTATCCACAATAGCAGATACACAGAATCAATCCAAATGCCTATCAGTAATAGAAAGATTTAAAATAATGTGTTACATATACACCATGGAGTATTATGCAATCATAAAAAAGAATAAGATCATGTTATTTTCAGGGACATGGCTAGAGCTGGAAGCAATTATTCTCAGCAAACCAACACAGGAACAGAAAAACAAACGCTACATGTTTTCACTTGTAAGTAGGAGCTGAATGATAAGAACACATGGATACGACTTGCAGAGGAGGGAGGTGGAACAACACACACTGGATCCTGTCAGTGCGGGTGGGGGGAGGGAGAGCATCAGAAAGAATAGCTAATGCACGCTGGGCTTAGTACCTAGGTATGAGTTGATCTGTGCATCAAACCACTGTTGCATGCCTTTACTGATGTAACAAAGCTGCACATCCTGCACATGTACCCCAGAACTTAAAATATAAGTTGAGAAAAAGAAAAGAGCTTCAAGAGTAAGAAATATAATCTTATACATATTAAAAGAAAATATTTTTGTAACAAGGTATTATTTTACACCTGAATGAACTAGAGTCATAAATTTGTGCAGAAGGTGAAACTGCATATGCAAAAGTAAATATCAGAACATTACTGGTGTGTTTTCTGAAAAGCAAAGCCAGATTAATTGTAATAAAAAGAGAAAGGGAGAAAGTAATAGGAGATAAAGGCATGGATGGGGATCATGATGGGGAAGCAGATTGCATATGGATTTCAGGATTAATGTAAGACTTCGGATTTTAATTTAAGAAAGGATAGCCTCAGTGGCATTTGAACTAGAAAGTGACATGGTCAGGTTCATGTTTTACAGAGATCACTCTTATGGTGTGTGGAGAATAGGGATTGTATCAGGACAGAAAAGTTGGAATAAAATACCAGTTAATTAGCCATGACTAAAATTTAGTAAGATAGCATTCCAATCAGGATCATAACAATTGGAGATACTGAGAGATTGTCAGACTCTGCATAGATATTTTGCATGTAGAAAATCCTAGATTCTCTGACATATTGAAAACATATTTTCAGTAAAAGAAAACACCATTAAGCCCATAGATTTGGCCCCAAAAGTGTGTGTGTGTGTGTGTGTGTGTGTGTGTGTGTGTGTGTGTGTATATATATACACACACACATGTGTGTCTATTAATGGTTTGTATCTTCTGCTAAAATGTAGAACCAAGAACGTATGAAATTTTATCTTCTTAATTGCTGAATCTCTAGAGCCTAGAATGAATGTGTCACATAAATGCTCAATAAAGGAATGGGGTATACTTGAGGTGGGAAGAAATAATTAAGCTTCCGAAATGGAAGTTTAAAATACCATTGATATATCCAAATACATAAGCTGAGAAGGAAGCTCTATATGTAAGACTGGATTCAAGGAAAACATCAGTTTATGGATTTTAAACTTGGAGTAATCATTATATTTATTAATGGTTTCCAACCTTGGCTGTTACTAGAATTACTGGGTGATTTTTTTTATATATACATATGTGTCTGGATCTCAGGGAAAAACAATTTACTTAGCGTTGAAAAAAAGGTGATCTATGCATTAGTTTAGATGTAGATATATTTAAATAGCCCAGATGATTCTAATGTGGAGCTAGTATAAATGCCATTTCAAATGAAGGATTTGTGCAATTTGACTTAAAACTGTGGTTCTAAATCTTGACTGGAAATTAGAATCTAATAGGGGAATTGTTTAATAATGTTTATGTCCAGGTTATTCTCGAAGCCAATAAAATAAAAATCATGTATTTTTCAATTTATCAAGGTTATGCCAACATGCAGTCAGGTTGAGAACCAAGGACCCAGAGAATGGTTGTTGATAAATAAGTAGAACATGTCTGAAATCTGAGCCTTGGGCTATTTCACATTTAATAGGCAGAAAATTGGATAGACTCCAACAAAGAAGAATGAAAAGGACCAGACAAGTAGATTAAGGAGAAAGTGTGAGTGCACTGCCTAGATGAAAAGTGAAGATGATGTTCGATCAAGTGTGTTAAGATGCTGCTGATACTGAGTTTAACCATAACTATGGGTATAGGCTTGTGAAGGTTGTTGTTGAGCTACACAGAAGCACTTTCAGTGAAGTTGTTGATTTGAGTATTGGGGAGATCAACAGGCAACAAAGAAGACAGACAGTGAGTTGGTACCAAATTTGTAGACATTTTTTTCCTGTGAAAGACAACAGGATGTTGGGGTGGTACTTGGAGAAGAAATGATGGACAAGGGAATACTATTTTTTAATGGAATACATTACATTTGTTAGATGGGAATGATTGAGTAAAATGTGAAAAAAATGGGAATGTAGAAAAAGAGGGAAACACTGTATGTATGACACTTGAGTGGGGATGACCAATGTTATCCTCTTGTGCACAAGTAGAGAGATTGGTCTGAGAAAGGTGCAAGGAAGGTGATCCACGGACAGTAAGCAAGTTAGCATATGTGGAATCAATCTCGGGAGGTTAGTAGCTTTGTTAGTGTGGAAGTATGAAAGATGTCTTCATACTGATTCCAGCTTCTTCACTGATCATTCAAGCAGGAGTCAGGTTATTGGAGGAAGGTTATTGGTGAGAAAAGCAGGTGCAGTAAAGTCATCTGTGAAATAAGAAAATAAATTGATGGTGAAATCATTAAATTTTATTTTCTGTTCACATTGTAAAGATTTTGTACACACTCAAAGTTGTTGCATTAATTTGTACCTACAGGTTCAATGCAAACGGTGCTTGCCTAATGCCATTTGTCAGTTTTAAGTTGGGGTATTTAGGGGAGGCAAGAGTTATAACAATGTTTTGAGATGACCAAAGTTTTCAATACGACTTGTTGGCCTTTTATCATCAGTAATTATCTAAGAAGAATGTCCTCTCCCAGAATGTCTCAAAATATTTCATGCAAATAATATTTTTTACATAGCTATTTGGGATGAAAATTTCTTTTTATGCCTGCTTACCAGTTAGATAAGTGTTCTAATTGAAAATTTTAAAAATATTGTGTTTCTTCACATTTGCCATGGTTTTGAAGCAGAAAGATTCTTCTTTACTGGAGGAGAGGCTATTTCAATTGATATAACAAATGATCACCAAAATTGGATTGGTGCCTGTCTTGTCCACTGAGGCCTATGGAAGGTAGCTTGGGTTATGGAGAGCATCATCTCAACGACTCTATGTTAGGACAACTGGCAAGTTAAGAATTTGTTTTGTTGATGACTGTTGTGAAATCTTCGTTCTTGTCTTCTTGGTTTAAAATAATTTAAAAGAGACACACAGCAAAAAATGATGCAGCATGGAGCAGCAAATTGCAAAATAGACAGTACACCTGGAGAGATAATTTAGAATCAGCTGCTTGTAAGGATGAGACAGTGTTCACTGTTACTGGGAAACTCCCTCCATGGGAATCTTACATGATTATTCATAAGGAGCTAGGAAGGCGTGCTACCTACCAGTAAGCATGTTTCGGGTGGTCCTCTGAGTGCATGCTTATTCATACATCATATGTCTTATTTGCATTTAAAATCTCCTCCTGGAGTGTGTTTTTTTACTATTATAATGAGCAAAGAGTGAGTTTAAAGATAGGTAAAATCAAAATGTGCAAGCTGTCTACAGGGGAAATTTCACACTGGAGGTAGCTTGGCTTGAATGAGCTTGATTACAATGCAAATGCCGGGGCTTCATGTGTTGTTGGTGAATGGCTATGGCTGTCATCCTGAGGACAGGATTACTTCTTTGACTACCTATCCTGCCTCAGTTTGGCAAAGTGCTAAAATGGAGGAATAAACTGAATCCCTTTGAATTGCTTTTGACAATTTATGCCTTTTTTTTTTTTTCAAAGTGAAGACTTGGAAAATGAGCTATCTGCCACTGGGTTCATAAAGGTACTGTCAGTTGCCACTTAAAATATCAGGACTAAAAGCAATTCCTAAACTTTGTAAACTTTTTTGTATAATGCTAAAGAATTTTAATTATTATTATTTATTTTGGTCAGAATATACTTATTACCTTCAATTTGACTTTGAATTTTTTTTTTTTTTTTTTAACATTCATGGTTTGGATTTGTTTACTCCTGATCTCAGCTGCTAAGGCTTGGTAAAGTACATACACATACACCAAAAGAAAGTCTGATAACATTAAAACAACCTCTCTCCTGACTTATAGTACTATACTTTCTACATAATAATAACAACATCCCTTCCATAAAATATATGATAAAATATTGATCAGAAAAAAATCTCTAAGATTATATTTTGAAATAAAATACAAAGAAACAAGTGGAGAGAGCTAAATTTGAAACTAAAAATCCACAAAATTATATTTAATTTATGACAATATACATATTACTAAAATGTATTATTATTAGATGTTAATAATACATCAATAAATTATGTTATTATTTTAAGTTATTTTTATATTATAATCTTATGGTAATTTTATAAATATGAACAATTGAGACATTTATTTTATAAAAAATTTTGATGAAAAACTATTAAAGGGAAGCATCTTTGTGTTCTATGAGTTAATACATATAAGAATCTAATTTAACAGTCATATTTGAGGAATCTACCAATACAATCCTTATTTTATAGATAAGTAAATAGAAAATGAAAAAGCTTCATCAGCAAATTGAATTCTAAAAGGCAGTCTAAGACTATTTCTGGCTGTAAATTTAACACTCATCTCTATGATACATAATTAATTATAAAAAATATTTAGGAACTTAAGTAACTATATTATGCAATATTCTACAAATAAATTTTCTGAATTATATATTTATTGTACATAAGAGAAATATGTTAAATATATCAGAGATCAAAGTAAGCAGTAGGACCAAAGAAAAGGAGAGGGAGGAACAGGCTGGGAGTCCTACGTCAGCATCAGCTCCGGCTCCGGCATCCACCTTCTCTCTCACGTCTATCGCGCCATCCAGCCAGGATATCTGCAAGATCTGCCACTGTGAAGGAGACGACGAGAGCCCCCTCATCACCCCCTGCCGCTGCACAGGAAGCCTCCACTTCATGCACCAGGCCTGCCTGCAGCAGTGGATCAGGAGCTCCAACACGCACTGCTGCGAGCTCTGCAAGTACGAGTTTGTCATGGAGACCAAGCTGAAGCCACTGAGAAAATGGGAGAAGTTGCAGATGACAGCCAGCGAACGCAGGAAGATTATGTGCTCAGTGACATTCCACGTCATCGCCATCACATGTGTGGTCTGGTCCTTGTGTGTGCACATTGACCGTACTGCCAAGGAGATCAAGCAGGGTCAGGCAACAGGAATCCTGGAATGGCCCTTTTGGACTAAATTGGTAGTTGTGGCAATCAGCTTCACTGGAGGACTTCTTTTTATGTATGTTCAGTGTAAAGTATACGTGCAATTGTGGAAGAGACTCAAGGCCTATAATAGAGTGATCTATGTTCAAAACTGTCCAGAAACAAACAAAAAGAATATTTTTGAAAAATCTGCACTAACAGAGCCCAACTTTGAAAATAAAGATGGACATGGAAAAAAAGGGAGATCCAAGATGGCTGATCACTAGCAGCTCGGGATTGCAGCCCCCAGTGAGAGCCCAGAGAACGAGAAAGGATGCCACACTTTCAGACGAATTTTTGTTGCTTACGGACCGGGAGATTCCCAGCAGAGGAACCCCTCGGGTCGCCAGGGCAACTCTTGTGGCCGGTGTGGCGGTTTTGCCAGGGCCTCGTCTTGGCGGTTCTTGGTGCAGAGTCAGAAAAGCATCATCAATCTTAATGCCGCTGTTTTAGCCGGTGCAGTGGGTTGCTCAGGTTCCAGCGCTGGGAATCAACAAGTTGGACGTCCACTCAGAAACCTAATTAGAAAGTCGGTAATTACAAAGAAGACAGATGGATAAATTTATAATGAAAGGAAGAAACTAGCCTAAAAAGGCTGAGAATACTCAAAATCAGAACGCCTCTCCCTCTACAGGGGATCACAGTTCCTCATCAGCAACGGAACAAGGCCTGATGGAGAACGAGTGAGTTCCATTAACAGAAGCAGACTTCAAAAGCTGGATGGTAAGAAACTTCTGTGAGTTAAAAGAACTCGTTCTAACCCAATGCAAAGAAACTAAGAAATTTGAAAAAAGGTTTGACGAAATGTTAACGAGAATAGACAATTTAGAGAGGAATATAAGTGAATTAATGGAGCTGAAAAACACAACACGAGACCTTTGCGAAGTATGCACAAGTTTTAAACCTGAATGTGACGAAGAGAATGAATCCAAGCTGGAAAATACTCTTCAGGATATTATTCAGGAAAACTTTCCCAACCTAGCAAGGCAGGACAATATTCAACTCCAGGTAATACAGAACACCACAAAGATATTCCTCAAGAAAACCAACCTCAAGGCACATAATCATCAGGGTTGAAATGAAGGAGAAAATACTAAGGGCAGCCAGAGAGAAAGGTCAGGTTACCCACAAACAGAAGCCTATCAGACTCACAGCAGATCTCTCAGCAGAGATCCTACAAGCCAGAAGAGAGTGGGGGCCAATATTCAACATCCTTAAAGAAAAGAACTTTCAACCCAGAAATTCATATCCTGCCAAACTAAGCTTCATAAGTGAAGGAAAAATAAAATCTTTTGTGAACAAGCAAGTACTCAGAGATTTCATCACCACCAGGCCTGCTTTACAAGAGCTTCTGAAAGAAGCACTACACATAAAAGGAACAACCAGTATCAGCCATTCCAAAAATATACCAAAAAGTAAAGAGCATCAATATAATGAAGAATTTTCATCAACTAATGGGCAAAACAGCCAGCTAACATCAAATGACAGTATTAAACTCACATATATTATTATTAATCCTAAATTTAAATCAACTAAATCCCCCAATCAAAAGACACAGCCAAAAGCCATCGGTATGCCGCAGACCGATCTCACATGCAAGGATACACAAAGACTCAAAACAAAGGGATAGAGAAAGACTCAAAACAAAGGGATGGAGAAAGATTTACCAACCAAATGGAGAGCAAAAATAAATAAATAAATAAATAAATAAGCAGGAGTTGCAATTCTCACCTCTGATAAAATAGACTTTAAAGCAACAAAGATCAAAACAGGCAAAGAAAGAAATTACAGAACAGTAAAAGGATCAATGCAACAAGAAGAGCTAACAATCCTAAATATATATGCACCTAATACAGGAACACACAGATACATAAGACTTATAAAGAGACTTAGACTCCCACACAATAATAGTGGGAAACTTCAACATCAATATTAGACAGATCAATGAGACAGATAATTAACAAGGATCTCCAGGACTTGAACTCAGATCTGGAACAAGTAAACTTAATAAACATTTATAGAACTCTCCACTTTAAATACACAAAATACACACTCTTATTAGCACCACATCACACCTACTCACAGGTTTAAATGAAATATTGGTTGGCTGCTTGTTTGTCATTTTCTTCTCTCATAGCTTTCCTGTCTCCATTATTAAGCACAATTATTGGTATAAAAGAGGTTTTCAATACCCATTTTTAGACTGCATTCTAGCCTGGGCAATAAAGCAGCACTTACGTTCTCTCTCCCTCTTCCTCTTCCTCTTTCTTCCTCTCCTTCATTCTTTTTTTATTTATTTTTCTTTCTTTTTTTCTTTCTTTCTTTTTTTCTTTCTTTGAAAAAGAAAAGTAAGCAGATTTACCACTCTAAGAACAAAGCATATATATCTTTTAAGTTTTTAAAATTATTAATTGACACATTAAAATTGTGCATAATTGGTGGCTTACCCCTGTAATTCCAGCACTTTGGGAGGGCAGATCACTATTTCAGGAGTTCAAGACCAGCCTGGCCAACATAGTGAAACCAAAACCCCATCTCTATGGAAAACATAAAAATTTGCCAGATGTGGTGGAGTGTACCTGTAATCCCAGTTACTCGGGAGGCCAAGGCAAGAGAATTGCTCGTACCTGGGAGGTGAAGGTTGCAGTGAGCTGAGTCCATGTCATTGCACTCCAGCCTAGGCAGCAGAGTGAGACTCTATCTCAATAAATAAATAAATACATAAAATAAAATTGTGCATATTTATGGGGTAAAAAGTGATATTTCAATAAATGTATACAGTGTATAATTAAAGCTGGGTAATTATCATATCCGCAAAGATTTCTTCAAATATTTATCATTTCTTTGTGTTGGGAACATTCAAAATCTCTTCTTGCTGTTTAAATATATATAACCCTACAGTGCTAAAGAACAGTAGAAGTTATTCCTCATAACTAGCTATAATTTTGTATCTGTGAACCAACCTATCCCTATACTCCATTCCCCTCTACCCTTCCCAGCATGTAGGAACCAGTATTCTACTCTCTACTTCTATAAGATCAACTTTTTTAGCTTCCATTCAATATATTATGCTACAGAGAAAGGTAGTTTTGTTATTTGCCTTTCAAAATTGTATATGTGTGGGAACGAGCTTAAGTAAGTAGCACTTCCCAGTATAAGCCACAATAATTAATGCAGCTAATGAATCAATAAAAAGTTCAATAATTTAACACTATGCTACTTTTGTAAACTTATGTTGTCAGTTGTAATATTCACACTAACACAGTGAGCTAAGCATTACTACGTGTTAATTCCTCTGGGCTTAGGAAGCTTCAATGACATGCCAAGGTAATAGTTCTAAAATGTGACAATAAAGGTATACAATATATAAACCTAGGTCTTTCTTTCACGTCAAGTACTGTAATGTCTCTCTTACACCATGTTAGTCCTAGTCAGTATCAATAATATATGTAACAATTAGTTTATGGTTATATTTGCCACTGTGATAGTTCAATTAGTGCAGCCTGCAAGTATAATAATCTTTAATGCAGTCTGTGATGATAAAATAGGAGCTGAAATTAAAGAACAGATAATCTAAGACTTATACTTAAGAAATAGATGGATAAGAAAAATTTGTATTTCATTCAGGAAATGAAATAAAACAGATAATTTCAGTCTTAAGAAGTATAAGACAACATATATAAAGAAAATGTTTAGAAAAGAGTAGCAGAATGTAAATCCATATGGATATTGACATGGTTTGGCTCTGTGTCCCCACCCAAATCCATCTCAAACTGTAATCCCTACATGTCAGGGGAGAGACCTGGTGGGAAGTTATGGAATCATGAGGACAGACTTCCCCCTTGCTGTTCTTGTGATAGTAAGTTCTCATGAGATCTGATGGTTTAAAAGTTAGATTGTTTAAAACGTTCTTACGCCTTCTCTCCATGTTTCCGCCCACCATGTAAAGCTAGCCTTGCCTCCCCTTTGCCTTCCACCATGATTGTAAGTTTCCTGAGTCCTCCCTAAACATGTGGAACTGTGAGTCTTTTAAACCTCTTTTGTTTATAAATTACCGAGTCTCAGGTAATTCTTTATAGATTAATATAGATATATATTGTTAATTTTCTAATTTCTTCATATAACTACTTTTTGCTTCTCATTTATGATTACCTGATCATAATCCTGGAAATCATACTTCATTGATTGTCAAAAATGCATAGAAGTATGCAACAAGGATCAATCTTATTATACCCTGAAAAGAATAGTACAAACATTGGCTTCCTGTTCAGATGCTATTCGTTTATTGCACAGTGATTCATCAATAATAGGTGATGAAATATTTATGGAATATTTATGTTGCTTAAGCAGGATTCTATTATTAATGACACAGAGGTAATAAACTTTAAAAAAATTATTTTGAGGCAATAGCAACACATACTTTTTTGTTTTAAAACACTTTTACTAACTTAAATGTTATTGATTTCTTCGCACATTTACTCAGTTGACCAATACTTGTTAGGTCATAGATAGTGTATATTCTATTTAGCAAGTAGATTATTTTTCTTAATTATATGCAAATAGTTTTCTGAGCAGAGATTTTTCTGATTAACTGTGTAAAATATCTTGTCCACATTTTGTAAAGCCGCTATACAAAACAGCATTACCATATAAATACAATCGTTTGCTTACAAAATTTGATAAAATGAACTTATTCATTGAGAAAAATTGAGTATTAGCATAATGTGACATTTATAGCTGAACCATTTTTACACGGCTCATATCTTTCCCAATTGAACTATATAGCCATAACTGTCATTTTAACAGGAAAACAGGAAAAGGAAACACTACAATGCAAAGGGGCAATCATTCTGCATACCTGTTCAATAATAAATTGATTACTTTCTCCACAAAAGAAATGTGTTGTCTTAAGAAGCTCCTTCTTCTGGGCCATGTCTGCATCAGACAGAGATGGGCTTCTCCTCTTGTCCTTGTGGACAAGTGTACAGGTAGAACTATCTATAGTAGTTGTAATCAGTAGCTGCTGACATCTACTTAAAGTGGCTTTCTTGTTTATGTTTACTTAGAAATTTTTTCTTAGTGAACATAAGGAAAATAATAGAGCAAAGAAAAACATGTTAATTCATTAATTTTTGCTAAGCACTAATTTATTATAATCATAAACAAAACATTATATTTTCATTTAAAAATCTTAATATATGCAAATGCAGAGGTAGAACTATCAATA